AATAATTAATTTCTTATAACTATGTTTCCTTTAGCATTAATAACAATTTAATTTTTAACAATTTCCCAGTTCTACAATTTACATACATATAGAGTAATGTGAATATTATGTGGTTTTCCAAATACAATGCTGTTGTAGTTTCTAGAAGATTTAAACTCTGCAAAATATACTATAGATTTTGTAAATGACAACAAAGCTAGAATATTATGTTTAAAAACGCAGCATACATTTAGTTGCAAACATTTACAAATACAGACATATAAAAGCATTGAAAACATTAACAGGATGTTGGTTTCTGTGTATTTATATCTTTCTTCTTTTTTTGTGTCTGTAAAATGAAACGTAAATTATGCTAAATTTTCATTTTCTACTATCTATTTCGTTACTAAGTTACACATTTACATATCAGTGTTACAATAGATACACAAATACAGATAGAATACAAAGGATGAGAATGATATTTGTCAGAGAAAAATTTTAATATAAAAGGGAAGTTTTCCCATCTACACTAAATAAATTTGACTTGTTGGACAGATGAATAATGATTTGAGAAGAAATTGAAAATTGTTTACCTTATATTGAGATGTTTTAAAGTTTACATGATTTTTTACATTATTTACATAATTGTTTACATTTCATAAACTTTGAAAAAAACTGAAGATTCCTTAGAATACTATGAAAAATCTCTAGTTAGAACTTTATTCTTTAAATACTTATCAAAGCTCTTCAAAAGCTTATCAAATCTCTTTAAAAGCTTCTCAAAGATCTTCAAAAGCATATCAAAGCTCAAACCTAACTCGTTGGACAGATGAATAATTATAATAGTGAGAAGAAATTTAAAATTGTTTACATTATATTGAGATGTTTTAAAGTTTACATGATTTTTTACATTATTTACATAAAGTAATTGTTTACATTTCATAAACTTTGAAAAAAACTGAAGATTCTTTAGAATACTATGAAACATCTCTAGTTAGAACAGTGCCTAATATTCTTTAAATGCTTATCAAAGCTCTTCAAAACCTTATTAAAGCTCTTTAAAAGCTTCTCAAAGCTCTTTAAAAGCTTATCAAAGCTCACATTTAACTCGTTGGACAGAAGAATAATGATTTTTCAAGAAATAAGGTAAATTGAGAAGAAATTGAAAATGGTTTACATTACATTGAGATGTTTTACAGTTTACATTATTTACATAAAGTAATTGTTTACATTTCATAAACTTTGAAAGAAAAGGAAGATTCTTTGAGAAGAAATTGAAAATGGTTTACATTACATTGAGATGTTTTACAGTTTACATTATTTACATAAAGTAATTGTTTACATTTCATAAACTTTGAAAGAAAAGGAAGATTCTTTAGAATGCTATGAAAAAGCTCTAACTATATCAGTAATATTCTTTAAATACTTATCAAAGATCTTCAAAAGCTTATTAAAGCTCTGTAAAAGCTAATCAAAGCTCTTTGAAAGCTTATCAAAGCTCTTTGAAAGCTTCTCAAACCTCTTCAAAAGCTCTTTAAAAGCTTTTCAAAGCTATTCAAAATCGTTTCAGAGCTCTTTAAAAGCTTTGAAAGACAATAACTTTCGATTTGTGAGACTGAGAAGCTATTCAAAATAGTTCGCATTAGGATTTCTTGACTTTTTTTAGTCTTTTTTAATATACATGGTAAAAATTATATTTTCTATCACTTAACATAACTTTGAAAGAAATCGAGGATTACAGAAGATTCTAGGGAACTATCTAAATGCTAAAGTTAGAGCAGTAAAAACTGTTTCAAGCTCTTTAAATACATCCTAAAGAAAATAGCTTTATTTTGGATGTAGGTATACTTCCCATTTATCTCTGTACAGAAAAGGAAGTTTGATTTCATTTTGTTCACTTTTTATGTAAATATGTATGTATGTGTAAGTGTAAGTCTATATGGTGTAAAAATTGTTGTGGTATTTTTGAAGTAAATTAATTTTTAATGAAGCAAAGAAATATTCCATAACATAAAAGCATAAATTATAAATAAAGTTATTTGAAAATTTTTCAACTTTTATTTTTTTTTTAAACGCATAGAAAATGTAAATTTCTTTTTGTTAAAAAACAATTTTGTATATTTTTAAATATTAAGACAAGTTGTAAAAACATGTTGTTGTAGTTACATATGAGTCAACATACAACAATAAATTTTCAATTTAATGTGTGTCTTAAAGCAAGAGGGATATTTTAAAGTGAGCAGGTTTTTTTAACTATTTTTAAACCACAAATAGGATTTTTTTCAAAAGAAAGCTTTTTAAAAGGGAAAGATACAAATGTGTTCACTTAGCAAAACCTCTTATAAAACTTAATAATACATTTATCTCCAATTTTAAATGTTAACATTTAATTAAGATTAATGGTTTAAATTAACACATTTATAGAGTAGTTTTACTTCAAACTTAATTTGCCCCACAAACTCCAACTAATTACACATATAGCAATTAAATCTTTACATTATTTATTTTAAATAACAAATTAATTTTAAATATTTACATTCCTATTTAAATAATTTATTTATTTCGTTAATTATTTTTTTAAATAAACACACTAAATGTTGACCACCCATTTACACCGTCATTATTTACATTTTACATTACAATATTTAACCAACAAAACATGGTAATGTATATAAAATTAAAATTCCACATTAAAATTTAAAAAAAAAATAGCAACAGGTTTTTTTCAGTTTTTAAGTTTTAAAAACGTTGTAATAATTAAGAAATTTACATGCAGTTCATTAATGAATAAAGGTTTTTCAAACATAAAAACGGCGGTTTTTTTTAAAAAGAAGTGTTGTAAAAACAGGATTTTTTTATATACAAACTACAACAACAATTAATTTAACAGATAATTAATTTAGTTTGTAAATGTGAACATACAATCAGACAAAATATTTACACAAAAGTTGGCTGACTAGCCATTAGCCATAAACATGAAAAGTGCATCAAGATGAAAATAAAGTATTGTATTTAATTGGTTATGTTGCAATGATAAATAAAGTTATAAAATGTTTTTTTACACAAAGGAAACTTCTAAGTGGTTGAAGAAAATAAGATTCTGTTAGTTTCTCTGCATGAAAATATTTGAGAGACAATAACTTCCGGTTTGTGGATAAAGTAAGAAGTTTTATTTAAATTGCATAAAAATGTTTTGATGTAAACTGTCACAGATGAAAAATGAAGGAAATGTCACAATATTTATTCAGGTTTTTTTTATTGATTACATAATGTAATGTAACGAGTTATGCGGTAAGCTAAGTTGGAATTTAAAATTGTTCCCATTATGTAAAGATTTTATTGTTTACATGATTTCTTTACTTTTTTACATTATTTACATAAAGTAATTGTTTATATTTTGTAAACTTTAAAACAGTGCTACATATGAAAGCTCTAGTTAGAGCAGTAATATTCTTTAAATACTTATCAAAGCTCTTTAAAAGCTTTTCCATGCTATATAAGATTTTTTCAATACTATTCATAAACTTTAAAAAGCTTCGAGCACTCTAAAAGCTTTCATACTAACAGCTGTAACATTATTTGGCTCGTTACTTTCAAAACTATTTAACAACTTTTAAAGCTCCTTAAAAGCTATTTAAAGTTATAGTTCAGTTCTAGTTCTGTTCTAGTTCTGTTCTAGTTCTAGTTCTGTTCTAGTTCTGTTCTAGTTCTGTTCTAGTTCTGTTCTAGTTCTGTTCTAGTTCTGTTCTAGTTCTGTTCTAGTTCTGTTTCTAGTTCTGTTCTAGTTCTGTTCTAGTTCTGTTCTAGTTCTGTTCTAGTTCTGTTCTAGTTCTGTTCTAGTTCTGTTCTAGTTCTGTTCTAGTTCTGTTCTAGTTCTGTTCTAGTTCTGTTCTAGTTCTGTTCTAGTTCTGTTCTAGTTCTGTTCTAGTTCTGTTCTAGTTCTGTTCTAGTTCTGTTCTAGTTCTGTTCTAGTTCTGTTCTAGTTCTGTTCTAGTTCTGTTCTAGTTCTGTTCTAGTTCTGTTCTAGTTCTGTTCTAGTTCTGTTCTAGTTCTGTTCTAGTTCTGTTCTAGTTCTGTTCTAGTTCTGTTCTAGTTCTGTTCTAGTTCTGTTCTAGTTCTGTTCTAGTTCTGTTCTAGTTCTGTTCTAGTTCTGTTCTAGTTCTGTTCTAGTTCTGTTCTAGTTCTGTTCTAGTTCTGTTCTAGTTCTGTTCTAGTTCTGTTCTAGTTCTGTTCTAGTTCTGTTCTAGTTCTGTTCTAGTTCTGTTCTAGTTCTGTTCTAGTTCTGTTCTAGTTCTGTTCTAATTCTGTTCTAGTTCTGTACAGTGATTGCTGTAGGGGAAACAATCATTACTATGTATACCAAAAAATAAATTATAATGTGAACAAAGACTTAAAGTTAAAATATAATTGGATTTTGTCTTTGACATAAAATGACAAAACATAAATCTAAAATTAAAATACAAAACATATGTATGTAGCCAATATCCGGTCAAAATATACTAGTAAATAATAGCAAAACATAACAACATATGTTTGTATGTAACGACCCTTATAATCAAAATTGAATTTTAATTAAGAAATTTTCACAAAAACCTACAAAACCAAATAACAAACAGAGACAGTTGGTCTACAGTAAATGGGCAGAACAAAAGGACTTCATACATTGCCGCCAATATGAAGGAAATAAAATACAAATACAGAAAAATAATTCTATTAAATCAATCGTCCGAAATAAGGGCAGGGTAATGTTGCAATATTGCTTAAACAAATATAAAATTTAATAATTTAATAAAATCAAATAAACAAAAACTTGCTACAATTTCGGCAAAGAACTATATATAGGATTAGGGATGGGGCGTGTAAAACAGTGAGAGAGAATTTAACTGTCAAATTTGACAGTTAATAAAAGAAACGACATTTGAAAAGGGGATACTTGTTTCTTTGTTTATAATATTATATTTTAAGTATGATTTGAAAGATGTCAGAATTATCAATATGTTTTTCTTTGTATTTCTTTTTAGCTCACATTTTGGAATTGGCTCAACAATCAGAGAATAGAACAATAAATATATTCTCCCAAGTGTATAAGCGCATGTTACCTTTATCACGCAAATTGATTGTACAATTATATTCAGAAATTATAAGGTAAGTTAATTTAAATAAATTTTACGGTAATATCGTTCAGATTTAAATTTAATTAATGAACAAAATAAAATTTGTTTGCAATTTTAATTTAAAAAAATTGGGTTGATCTCAACTCGATCAGTTGGAAACACTGTTTTTGCGAAGTTCTTTAAGTACGGTTTTACTAAAATCAAATACAAAATACGATAACCCTAATGTAAGCATTTTTGGGGGAAAAGTGATCTTACAATGTTCTTATTTTGAGAATTATCGATCATAATCTCAAAAAAAGAATACGATCAATCATATTCGCTTAGAAAATAAGTGTAAAAGTCAATCAACTCTTAATATTTTTAAAGTAATTTCTAAGGAACCACTGATTGCATGCAAGTTTTATTTAACAACTTCCAAATAAATATAAATTTCTTCGCATTCATTTCAATTTAAATCAATTATTTTATCATATTTCTTTTACTTCTCTTTCATTTTTTAGCAATTTAAAATCAAGTGAAACGGTTAGTGCCACCTCTTTGGAAAATGCCATCCATAAGTTCTTTGTGAATTTATTCCCGGTGGCCTATCATCAAGTGGTGCATTTGAATAAGCAAAGTTATGGTGAATTACATGAAGACTATATTAATTGTTTGAAACACACATATGACGATCTGCAGCCATTTGGTGCCATACCCAAAGAAATTACACGCAATTTAGTACAAAGTCTACAAACGGCTCATATTTTCATCAATGCTTTGTATCAAAGTGCTGAAGTTTTAAGTGAAACTGATGAATTATATGCCACACATTTGAGTGAGAGCTGTCAGAAGCATTTGCTTAAAATGAGTTATTGTCCCAGTTGTAATGGTCTACAAAAGACGCATGTTAAGCCCTGTTACAGTTATTGCATGAATGTTTTAAGGTATGTACTACTATGTGAATTGTAAATGTAATAGAAGATACGAACAGAGATAGACAGACAGACAGACAGTTGGACACAAATGTCATGTGGTTGTTTTGCGACGTTCTTAAGTATTACACAATTTAAGATTGTTACATCACTCTTTGTAGCTAGTTGCTTGCTACTTTAATTTAATAGTATTTTACATCATTTCTTTTCTTCTATTTTATTTTCCTTGACAGAGGCTGCTCGGCTCAATATGCTGGTGTATTAGATAGTCCTTGGTCAAATGTTGTTGATGCTATTGATAATTTGGTCACAACACATATACGTTCTGATACTGGCATTGTTACAGTCATTAAACAATTGGATAATAAACTATCAGAAACAATAATGAGAGCTATGGAAAATGGTCCTGAATTGGAAAAGAAGGTAAGTTTTTCGAACAATACACAACACTCGGTAATTTAGTTAGTCAGTTCTGTTCTTCAAATCTTCAAAGTAAAATATGAAAAGGCAATTTACAAATTGCTACAAGTTGTGGGTAGTTTGAAATATCTTACTACCCACAAGTTTTTATATGTACTACTTGGCACAGGACAATGTCATATTGAAACCAATATATGAATGTATTTGAAAATCAATTAAGTAGAAAACAATATTAGATGAAGAACAAATGTATATGTAATTAATACTGAGAATAAAAAAGGACAATTTGCAAGAATACTTTAACAATGATTTCCTTGAATAGAGAACTAAAGTTAAATATTATGAAATGTTCATTTAATTACAGAATTGTGTTATTTCTCCTCAATTTCCTTAAGGAAAAAGTGATCTATTGATGCAAAGTTGTCTCAAAGCTTTGCTAGGTCTTTCCGTAGCGAGTCTCAAATTTCATTAGTTTTTCTGCCTCATATTGCAATGGCAATTCAAAGATTCAGTCTTAAAATTAGTCAGTTTTCCCCCATTCCAGTCCTACAAAAGTTTATTAAATTGGTCCTTCAAATCACTATTACACCCAATGACCCATAAAAGTTAAAATAAGACTTTAAGAACTAAAACTGCTTCCAAAGAACCCCAGTTTTCTGTCAGCTCTTTTCCTCTGAACTTCCAAATCTTTCAACAAATACTCCCAAATACATATTTAAGGAACTAAAACCCCGATCATCCTTATTAAATAGAACAAAAATAGAAAAAAATAGTCGTCTCAATCAAAGACACACATTTTCATCTTACTTGTCTAACACTTTAACACTTTTCACTTCCTGTAAGGATAAATTAAAAAAAAACAAATACGTTAAACATAAAAATTAATGCCTTTAGAATACATAAAATTATAGAAATGATTTCGTAAACTGAATTCCTAATGGCTTGTTGCAAAACAAGCTATACATACGTAATACTAGTAAAGTACATAAAATGCAAAACAATATTATTTGAATACATAATAAATGGAGGCAAAATAAAAAGAGTAGAAAGACATATAAAAAAAAACTTAATAAATAAACACTTGTGTATACCTACAACATAAAATGATTTTCAAGCAAATTGAATATTTATAAATTGCTTAAGAAATAATCCTTTCGTATGATTGCCTTGACTATCTTAATGTACACAACTAGTAGTGTAGTAGTACTTACTCCCTCATTATGATAAAAACAATAGAAAGTTAAAGAATATTAAACAGTTGTAAGCAGGGAATGTAAGAATGTGCCAGAGTGGCAGAAGTGTAGAAGAAGTTGTAGACTTAGTTTAGTTGCAGCATAAATTACACTGGCATTACACTTAACACTAGTGTTTAGTTTAACGGCGTTTTCATATCAAGCACTCGTTTGAGGCCTTATGAAAGTTTGGTTAAATGTTGAATAAGTTTAAAGTTTAGCGTAAATTTGTTAAATAAATTATAGATGTATGTCGTAGTTTTGTACATGTAGTTGTATTATTTGTAACTACAACATGCATTTGTATGTTTTATAATGAATATAATGAATAGTGTTAACATGTTTTCCAGCTTGTTGCTAAGGACTAAATACTACAACAAATTAAATTGAAGTGCATAAAACAATCTGTAAAATGTTTGTAATTTTTTTGTTTGTCTTTGTTGGAAAATAATAATAAAAACTATAATAAAGTACTTAGTTAAGTTCCACTGAAATATTCCTATAAAATGTAAATATTTGCATATAATTTATATGCTACTGGTCTTAAATAGTCGTATTTAAGATGGTCTGATTAGTAGTTACATATATTTCATTAACATTTATTTAAAAATTAAATTAGAAATATAACAGAACAAAACTTCTCAAAAGGATTTCATTACCCCGTGCTAAAAAATTGTCCAAACCCTGATCTTAATCCAAACATATTATAAAAACATGATTCATTTTATACTGACATGGCCTAGGTGAGGATCACGTAATCCACACATTTATTACATCAGACTAATCCCAGAACTACTTCTTTGCTAAAACATTGGGACTGTAAGATCCACAGCTTGCAGTTTTTAAAAAATTAACATGGTCTCTGACTGTATTACATAGAACTACCAAACGGATTATGTATTCTACTAATGTCTACAGGGGAGTACTTTTGGGATTACCTAAATGGATCAGACAATGGATATAAACAAACTAGTTCTTTGAATCGCTTCAGTTCTTAATCTGTTTTAATTCATATAAAGTTTTAGACCTAGAAGATTAGAGAAGTTTGAAAACTTTTGTCATTGCCTCGAAGTTCCAAAGGTTAAATTTAAGGAAATAACAAATATCGTCTAGGCTCTTAAATTTTGTCAGAAATTATTAGTTTTTTTGTAGGGTCAAAGCTGTATTTTTTGTTATTAAAAATATAAAGAATTGTCACGTATTTAACAATGCTTTTAAATTAAACATAAGGGAAATATTTCTCGCTAACTTGCGATTATATTTCAGTCATTATTCAGCAGGGTCTAAGGTTAAAACTACAATGAAACCCTACACCAGTTTTGAATATTAAATATGATTTATTTTTCATAATAATGCATAAATCGGAATATTATCTTGATTTCGATTTATTAAAGCAATTTATTGACGAAAAACTAATTTTCTGAAAGAGGCTTTATATGAAAGATAGGTTGAAAATGTGTACCGATCCCGATAAAATGTGGGCTGGATAGATTTATATTTATATAATATTTGTCTATGCTAAATTCCTTTGCAATAACAGTGTTAGTAAGTGAATTGCGGATATTCAAGTCACTTTCTGAAGGTAGCTTTGTATGGGGTCTAGGGTCAAATGAGGTCCGATCATTTCAAAATTCGGCAAGGTCATCAAGGCTTGTATAAAACTTAGTTGCACGAACTAAACCCCATACTAAACCCCTTTCGGGGGGTTTAGTTGTATGGGGACTAGGTGAAATAATGGACCGATTTTAAGCAATTTCAATAGGCTTCGTCTTTCGGTCAAAAGAAACGTGTATTCCAAAGTTCATGAAATTATATTGAAAATTGCGACCTGTACTTTGAATCGACTCAGAAAGTTCATTCTGAGTCAATCGGTATACTTTAAGGTGGGTATAGTACTAATATTTTAGTGTTTACAAACATCATCCCAAACGTATAATAAATACCCTTCCCATTATAGTGGTGTAGGGTATAAAAATTTATAAATATTTGATATAAATAGAAAACTTAAAAAAATTTCATACCTGTGCTTAAAATATTGCAATATTTTCCTCCAAATTCTTATCCGCATTATACAAATTTCATAGAATTCACTTTTTTTGTAATTATAAATTTTGACTTTTTTTAATTTTAAACACTTTAACACTTTTTTTAACAAAATTTTTAAAGAAATTTCAAATTTTTACATTTTTTTTAATTTTAAATATTTTCACTTTAACACTTTTTCAAACTAATTTTATTAAATAAGCAATTCCTACTTGTTTTTAATTGTATGTTTCATTATTTGTAATTGTTGTCAATTTAGCTTTTAATTATTTATTTTAAAAATTTCGGTTCATAAGCTCTTATTCTTATCATCATCAACATGTTCTCAGCACTTGTTTTTGTTGTTCTTGTTTATTTTTAGAAATGTATACAAACATTTATTTAGTTAATATGCAATACAACAAACAATTAAAATGTAATAAACATGTTGCGTATTTATTTACATACAGAAGATCAACAATAATCAGCAACACAACAATAGCAACACACAGTGGTATAGGAAAAAAAAAAGAGGGAAATAATTCGGTAACTTCTAAACGGTTAATCCGATTTTAATGAAATTTGGTATGCACAAAGAGGAGGTGTTGTCGAGTTTAGGTTTTGAATTTGGACCTTATAGGCCAACCAGGGGCCCGGCGGGGGGTCCTCAAATTAGGACACCTCGGCTATGTTAAATTTTTAAAACGATCCTATTTCTTCATTTGAGTTCCGATTTAAAAAAAAATTTCGTATATAGAATCTCCTCATCGAGCACTATAAAAAATGTTGTCATAGCAGTAAATTATCTCTTATAGTTTAGGAGATATTCGCATTTGAAAATTAAAATTTTAAAATTTTTACCGTCCTTACTTTAGTTTTTTTTGATAATAGCAGGTCCAAATATTCCCGATTTTCGCCATTTTGTTTTATTTGCTTAACAACAAGTTTATATACCAAGCAGTGAAAGAATTATGTAAAAATCATGACTGAGTCCAAAGTTATAGGCATTTAAATTTAAAAAATTAAAAAAAGGCGATTTTTTGTCATTTTTTTGGGAAAAAAGTATCTTTTTCTTTTTAAGTTATCTAAAAAGTTTCTAAGAAGATGTATATAGAATTTATACTTTTTGGAAAGCTGACTTTACATAAAATACGATAAATGAAACAAAACCTAAAAATTTTTGATACCGAGGGGACCAGGTCCATCCAAAAAAAACCCTATTTTTTATGGAAAATTAAATTTTGAGCAAAAATTCTCAAATCGCATAGTCGATATCAAATTATAGTGACCTGTTTTATATGACCCAATAAGTTCTTAATCATTTTGTAACGGGTTTCGATAACCCCGCCCCTGGTATGGATATAATAGGCAAAAAACCAAAAAATCCCATTTTTGGGATTTTTTAAAACTTTTTTGGGAATTCCGGGATTTCTAATAAGAAAATTCGAAATTTTTATTTAATTTTGGATTTTGAGTAAAAAAATCTACCTAACTGTAAAATTTCATCAAAAAATATTCATAAATAAAATTTTTATTGCAATTAGAAAAATTTGTATCTTCGCAAAAACTGAATAAAAAACATTTTTTAATTTTTTTTAAAAAAGTATTCCGCGAATTTTTTAATTTTCAAAAATTATATACAGTTTTGAAAAATAGACAAAATTACCTTTCCATTGATATATAACATGCCTACCTAATGTTTTTTAAGTGACAAATTAATTAGGGAAAACTCAACATCTTTTAGAAAATTTACCTAGCACTATTATTTTCATCCATATATGTAACAAATTTAAGAGTTAACCTTATGGATGAAAATAATAGTGCTAGGCAAATTTTCTAAAAGATGTTGAGTTTTCCCTAATTAATTTGTCACTTAAAAAACATTAGGTAGGCATGTTATATATCAATGGAAAGGTAATTTTGTCTATTTTTCAAAACTGTATATAATTTTTGAAAATTAAAAAATTCGCGGAATACTTTTTTTAAAAAAAATTAAAAAATGTTTTTTATTCAGTTTTTGCGAAGATACAAATTTTTCTAATTGCAATAAAAATTTTATTTATGAATATTTTTTGATGAAATTTTACAGTTAGGTAGATTTTTTTACTTAAAATCCAAAATTAAATCAAAATTTCGAATTTTCTTATTAGAAATCCCGGAATTCCCAAAAAAGTTTTAAAAAATCCCAAAAATGGGATTTTTTAGTTTTTTGCCTATTATATCCATACCAGGGGCGGGGTTATCGAAACCCGTTACAAAATGATTAAGAACATATTGGGTCATATAAAACAGGTAACTATAATTTGATATCGACTATGCGATTTGAGAATTTTTGCTCAAAATTTAATTTTCCATAAAAAATAGGGTTTTTTTGGATGGACCTGGTCCCCTCGGTATCAAAAATTTTTAGGTTTTGTTTCATTTATCGTACTTTATGTAAAGTCAGCTTTCCAAAAAGTATAAATTCTATATACATCTTCTTAGAAACTTTTTAGATAACTTAAAAAGAAAAAGATACTTTTTTCCCAAAAAAATGACAAAAAATCGCCTTTTTTTAATTTTTTAAATTAAAATGCCTATAACTTTGGACTCAGTCATGATTTTTACATAATTCTTTCACTGCTTGATATATAAACTTGTTGTTAAGCGAATAAAACAAAATGGCGAAAATCGGGAATATTTGGACCTGCTATTATCAAAAAAAAACTAAAGTAAGGACGGTAAAAATTTTAAAATTTTAATTTTCAAATGCGAATATCTCCTAAACTATAAGAGATAATTTACTGCTATGACAACATTTTTTATAGTGCTCGATGAGGAGATTCTATATACGAAATTTTTTTTAAATCGGAACTCAAATGAAGAAATAGGATCGTTTTAAAAATTTAACATAGCCGAGGTGTCCTAATTTGATGACCCCCCGCCGGGCCCCTGGTTGGCCTATAAGGTCCAAATTCAAAACCTAAACTCGACAACACCTCCTCTTTGTGCACACCAAATTTCATTAAAATCGGATTAACCGTTTAGAAGTTACCGAATTATTTCCCTCTTTTTTTTTTCCTATACCACTGTGCAACAGTCTATTCCTGATTGTTACGCAGAAACATAAAAATAAACATTCATACATACATACGACATACATATGTATGTATGTCATATTTTTCATCTTCTTCTTTTCAACTACACAAACATCTTAACAAATTGTCATTTGTTTGTTGTTGCTGTTGTTATTTATGACAAGTTTTTATTGCAAATAAATTGTAAAAGTTTTTTTTAATTTTTGTCACAATTTCAGTAACATTCGGTTAAAAATGCATTTATTTTATTGCAACACAATAGCAACAACAATATCTCTTTAAATGTCTTGTTAATACTTGTTGTTATTGTTTTGCCGAAATAAAACATGGCAGTCATATGCAAAAATTTGCAGATTTTTTTATTTGGATTTTTAAGCACAAACACTTGTTAAATTAATAAACTTTTTATAAATACTTATGTTAAATATTGTTAATTATTTAGTTAAAATACTTTTTTCTAAATTACTTTCGATTTTATATTGACATTTTAACGAAAACACTTCGAAACGTTTCCCGTACGCGTACGAAAAAAAACATGGCAGACATGCAAAAATTTGCAGATTTTTTAATTGGATTTTTAAGCACAAACACTTGTTAAATTAATAAACTTTTTATAAATAATTATGTTAAATATAGTTAATTATTTAGTTAAAACACTTTTTTCTAAATTACTTTCGATTTTATATTGATATTTTAACGAAAACACTTCAACCCGTTTCCCGTACGCGTGTTATCAGTAGCAAATTTAATAAAAGACTAATAATGGTGTTGTCAACAGGTGCGATTGTGGGGATCAAGAAAAAAAATCGCTAATTTGTGGGGAAAATCGCGAATTGGAGATTTTTAATCTTTGGAGGGAAATTTTAAGGGGAAACTATTAATTTTTGAAGAATTCAAATGGGGAAAACGGGAATCAGGGATTTTTAAGGTTTAGAATGGATATTTTTAAGAAATATTATTAATTTTTAAGGAATTTAATAGGAAATTATTTGTTTAAAGGCTTTAATATATGAAAAGACAGAATATTATTAAAAATTTTTAGTTTTTTGCAAAAAAAAAATTGATTTTACTGGATTTATACATATAAATAATAAGCTTTTCTCTGAAACTTTTAATTTTCAATATTTTATTCATAATTTACTCTATTTTTAATATATTTTAGGTGAAAAAAACCTGCGGTACTCCAAAATTATTAGCCTCATTGAGTATGGAACAAGAACCTAAACCACCAATGCCACACAATATTAAATGGGCCACACCTGCCGATTCGGAAATTTTACGTTTCCTTTCTACCATCGATAAATCAAAGGAATTCTACTCAAACATTGTCAATAAGTAAGTTAACTTGAAGTTATCTCAATAAAATGATCTTCAATTTGAAAATTCTCAATTAAAATTTTAAACGAAATAAGTTTTGTCTTAATATTTATAAATATTAAGACAAAACTTAAAACGGCATCTTGTATAAGAACTAGTATTAAAACTAAATATTAGATTCTAGTTTTTATTGCAAATTTCAAAATTATTTTTTAATTTTAACAATTTTATAATTATAACTGCATATTTTACGTAAAATATCACGTATTATGCAAAAATATAAAGGAGCAAATATGCCACCACCAAAAAATATAACATTCAGCACAATATCGCGCCACAGCGGGGGTCTGTAGGCCTATATTAAAAAAAATGCAAATTAAAATAACAAAATTTCTTTATTAAAGAAAACTTACTCCAGTGCCTTGTGAGGGTATCAAAAATCTACCCTTCAAAATATCGTGTACAATAGATTTTAGTTTCCTTATAAAATTGATAAGAATCATTTTAAAATAAAATCTAAAGAAATTTTTAAATATTTTTTTTTTCTCAATTAAAAATTTATGACAAAGTACAGTGGGGCATAAAAATTAATTAATTTTAATAATTTTTTATTTTTATGTTATTATTTTTTAGTTTCTGCGAAGATGAAGATATCCAAAGAAACGATCGTCACTGTTGGATTGGTGATCGTGTTGGTGACTATACACAATTGGTTATGACCGCTGGCATTGATACGCAACGTTATAATCCCGAAGTACCATTGGAACCAAATTCTCAACCCTCTAAACTAAATGAATTAGTTGATAAATTATTGAAAATACGCAAAAATATTGCAACAGCGGTAAGTTTTCTAAAAAAATATATAATTTTAAATAATATATAATATTTTGAAATTTTTGATAAATTTCAAAGTTTTTTTTTTAATATTTTATAAAATTTTTTAGAAATGTTTCAAGAATTGTCAATAAACTTTTTTCAAAAAATGTTTTTAACTTCAAATGGGTTTCTTCTTCTTCTTTTTCAGATACCCTCTACCACTAGGACAATCAATGACATTCAAAGTGATATGGCTGGTCATGATGATGAAGGTTCTGGCCGCATGACAGATGATGTCGACGATGAAGAATATCATATGCAAGGCTCAGGAGATGGATCTGGTGGAGGTAGGTTTATTTCAAAAAAAATTCGATTTCTTCTAATATTTTATAGAGATTTTTTTTAAATTTGTCTATAATTGTTTCTAATTTCCTATTCTTATTACAGATCATCCTTCCCTCGCCTTTAATCCTCGCTCAGAGTCTGATCCTACTGAAAATGAGATTGTACCTGCGGTAGGAACTGGCGGTAGTTCTTCCACAACAATACACATGAGTTTGACAACTCTTCTAAGCGCCGTACTAGTCATACAATTATTAACAACGATACGATTTTTTAAGTTATATTAAAAATATTACTGAAAAAATCCAAAGGGTGCAACTCTGTTTTATAAATTATGTAGTTTATATATAAATTTAAAATATATATATACAAATTAACAACTCGAACTCGACTAAATGCAAACTAAACTTGCTCTTAAAATACTCTTAGAGAGTAACAATAAAGAAATTCTTTAAAATGATTTTTAACAAAAATTGACAAAATACAAAAAAAACAGCAATAACAAGTGCAAGAAATTCTTTAAAGAACGTATTTTCAAAATAATTTTAAAAAAAAGTGATAAAAAATAAAGTTGAAAAACTTTATTAAAAATTTATAAAAACAAAATACGAAAATATGTTAAATGTATACAAGAACATAAAAATACAAAAACAAAACTTACGTACATAACATAATTTGAATCTAAAGAAAGTCCAAAGAGCTCTAAATAAAAAAATGTAAATCTTTTAATAGAAATTAAAAACAAAACAAAAAAGAGAGAACTTGTTTTTAGGCAATTAACAAATTTTTAGAATTAAACAAAAAAATAAATTTAAATTTAACAAAACTACTTGGCGTTAAAGTCTCCACATGATTCCCCATTAAACTGATAGAAAAATACAACCCTGTAAAGGAAACAACTGAAAACCGTTAACAAAGAATAAATAAGAAATGAAACTGCTGTCAAAAGTACCTAAGTGTACTGTCATCCGGTACCTAACTCTAAGAATGTATTAGTAGAATTCTCAAGTCAACATAGTTGCAAAAAATCGTATTGAAAAATATTGAAAAAAAAATATTACATTTCAATTTATACTTTGAAAGGTTTCTTAAGATATTTTCCACATATTTTATCTACAAACATTTTATAAACACGTCTATTTGTTTTTTAATCTATAATATTGCAAAAATAAATTATTTATTTGAAATATCTTTTTCGTTTACCATACGAAAATTTACAACATTGTTTTTTTTAGTTTTAATTTCAACCAACAAAAATTCAATGTCAAAAAATAAAAAATATTTTATTTTCGTTTGTAAAAAATATATTATTTTCGGGCTATTAAATGTGTTTAAATTGTGCAAAAAAATTATAAAATATAATGTTAAGTGATAAAAAATATTTCAAAGTGCTATTATCCTCAAATTTTCGCGAAAAAGTTTTGAAGTTTGGAGAGAGAATAAAATTTTTACATATGTGTTGAATTTACACAGCACTCGTCTGTGAGAAGAGCGTAATGTTATTGTTGTAAAAAATTGACAGCGTTTCACTTCTTGTTTATTCTTTGACCGTTAAACTAAAACAGGGTTGTTTTGTTAAAGTAGCCCAGCAAACATTTCTACTCACAAAATAAACAACACAAGCAAAAATAAGAAAAAAAGGTGCCATAAACATATAAACACAAATTTTCCAAAAAAAAAAAATATGAAAATTGCTCATTCAAACTGGAATTTATAAAAATCAATAAATAAACAAACCATAACCACAACTAAACTGTTTGCAAATATTAAGTAAAAAAGAATTAAACAAAATATAAAAAAAACTATAATTGTTCCTTTTTTAAATTTAAAATATATAATACAACAATAAAATGGTAAAAGAAAGGTTTTCTTTTTTTTCTAAAAAAAAAAAACAAGCACAATATTCAAGAAAATTAAATCCAAATTCAGATTTTGTGAAATTTGTAAAAAAAGAGAATATATATAAAAAAAAAATTCAAACAAAAAAATTTAAGTACGTACAAGAAGAACTGAAATTTACTTTAGTAAATTAATAAAAAATTAAAAATATATATTAAAAAAAAATTAAACTTAGAAGACTTACAAGCTTTATACAAATTGAAGAAACAATTAAAGAATTGAAAACACACAAAAACAAATAATTAATAATTATTAATTAGAAATTTATTGTTGTTTTTTAAGGGACACAAGAAATTATTAATCACTTAATGGCAAAATATTAAAATAAGTCATAATTGTATAGTTAATAGCTTAAATGGATATTGTAGTTATTAAAAATATAAAAACAATTGCTAATTTTTCTCAAAATTAAAATTAAAAAAATTTTGAACGAATGTGGCAATTGTTTTTATATATTTTTTTATAAATTTAACAATTTATTAGCAAAGTTTTGAAATAAAATTAAAACCGTAAATTATTGAGAATCTCTAAATTGAAATAGAGAATTTAGAAATTATAGATCAGGGGGGTTCGAGAATTAGATTTTGTTCGGTATTAGAATAATATTCAAAGAGATCTTTCATACCCAAAGTACCAAAATTATAGAAAATTATGAAATAAAACTGTTATACTGAACATTTTCTTAAAAATAAACTGTCATACTTATAATAGGCAAACAGAATATTTTTATTTTTAAACTGTCAAATACCTAATTTTTAATTAATATTTTCAATTAAAAAACAATTTTTATACAAAAAATGTTATTTACGAATTTTCTATAGCAAAAAACCGATTTACAGACAATTTCTGTTGGAAAACCTATTATATAGACATTTTTCTATAAAAGTCAGTTATTCTAGAAAAAAATAAAAAAGAATCACTATTACGTTATAGATTTTTTTCTTCCCCCGAAATCGTTTATTGTTAAAATGTCTACAATTCCCTTATAAATATTTTCCATTTAAGGATTAATAATTTGCTGAAGCTAAAAAGGAATATTAAATAAAAATATATAACTAATTAATTGCTGAAAAGTTATAAAATTACGTTTTTACAGAATTTCTTTAAAAAACTTTCAAACGACCAATTAAAATTTGATTTCAAACAAAAAAATCTAAAAAAATTTATTTAATATTCCTTTTTCACAAAAACCCGAATATTGCTCTTTATATATTTAAAAAAAAAACACTCAAAAAACCATCTTCTAACGATTATTAAAACGGAAAAAATCTTTAATTATAAATGTAAAATGTTTAAATGTAAATTATATTTCAAAATAATAAAAAAATAATAAAAAACACACAAATTAAACTAAATAAAAATATTAAATTAAAATAACTTAGTATAAACGTAATAAAAAAAAGCTTAGTTAGTAGCCAATAATTATTAAAGTAATTTAAATAATAATTTATAAATAAAAAAAATAACTAAAAATGCACAACCTTTAATGACAAGTTTTGCATGTTTATAATTAAAAAAATATATTAAATAATAAAAATAAATCTATATTTTCTATATGTTATAACTCACTTTATAAATATATTTTTTAAAATTAAAAAAAAAACAACAAATGTTTTTTTGCATGTGATTAATAAAATATAAGTTAATATTTAAATAATTTTTGTTTAAAATTTTATTATTTTTATTACTTTTTGTTTGCATAAGAAAAGTATTGAAAACTAAACGAAAAAAGAAAAGAAAGCAAAATTTTGAATGCGGAAAGAGATTCATTTTGAGAAGCGAGTTCTATGTAGATGAACAGGATTTTAAGATCTGCAGTCAAGTTTTGATCAACTTTTGGCAATCATAATAGAACAATTTATTTAGAACAGAAGAATCATTCGTTTGTTGAGATATCAGAACGAATCAGTTCCGATTTTAAGAAAAAGCGTAAAAATTTTGTTTACTTTTCTTATTAAAAAATACATAATTTATTATAAAAACACTAAATATTAAACTACTACTTTATATTTAAGGTGTTAACAGTTTATTTTTTAGTTAAAACGATAAATATAAAAAAATACATTAAAAAAATATATTTTAAAAAATATTATTGTTTTTCCAACAAAACTGTCAACCCTTAAATGATAATATTAATTCAATATTTTTATATAAATAGTTTATTATTATTATTAGTCTGTAATAAATAATTTTTAAAAATACCAACAGAAGAAAATAAAATGGCCGTATATATAGTCGCAATTTAATTTAAATATAAAATATTAATAAAAAAAACACAAAAATAAATTGTTAAATAAAATAAATGTCAGTTAAAACAGTAATAAGTTTAAAAAAAACATCGGCAACATAATTATTGTTTAATTATTAAACAAAAAACCAACAAATAATTATTATTAACAAATATATATAAAAATTAACATTAATAATATATATATATTATAAACTATTATTAATCAAATGATAAAAAATAAATGTGCAACATTTAAAAAAAGAGTAATATTAATAATAAAACAAAATTATGTAAAATTGAATTTCTTTTTGTAAAAAAAAACACATTTTTATTTCGTAAAACTGAAAATAAATACATATAATTAAAAAAAAATTACGAAAAAAAACCATTAGTGTTTTATTTAAAACTTCAAAATTTTCAGTAAAAGTCCTGGTCTTTTTAAAACTAGTTCGATATCTAGGGAACTACAAAGTTTTACATCATATTATTTTCCATGGGACACCGTAATATAGTATTTTTTCTTGGAAATCATGATAAAAAGGAGTCAAGGCAAAGATTATATCAAAATTCGAATCGAAACTTAACATCTCAATTGAAAAAGACAAAATAATCTACACGTAATAAAATTATCAATTCGGAACAAGAAAAACGTAATTTTTTAAATAAATAGTATTTTTTTTATTTGTTTTATTAATATTATTATTGTTTTAAATGTTTATTAACATTTTTTCTAAAATTTTTCATATTTCAAAAGTAATATTTACAAAAAGCAGCTGTTCATTGTTTATGTTTTTAACTGAAAAATTGGCAATACTAACAGAGTTAATTAACTGCTCTTTAATCCATAACTGAAAAACACCTAAATTTGTTCCGAGTTTAATTTATCAACAAGTTAATACTAGTTTAACTGAGTAGTAAAACCCCCGACTTAATTTTCAATTAATTTTATGTTTATATATTCACTATTTTAGAAAATTCAAAAAGTACCAGTTAAAGAACGAAAAATTACCAGAAATACTCCAGTTTAAATTTTCATTCACTCAAGTCCCTGATTGCTTAGTTTTATGTTTTTAGGTTCATTATAATAGAAAATTCAAATAGTACCAGTTCAAGAACGAAAAAGTACCAAAAAGTATGTTCTCACTTACTCCATGCCCTACACGTTTAATTTCATGTCTATAGCTTCAATATTATCGAAAATTCAAAAAATACCTTTTGAAGAACGAAAATCCGGGCTGTACATTCTTAATCCGGGCTGTACATTCTTAATCCGGGCTGTACATTCCTAATTTCATGTTTATAGGTTCAATATTATAAAAAATTCAAAAAGTTCCAGTCGAAGAACGAAAAAGTACCAAAAAGTTCCCTTTTATATGTTATCACTTAATCCGGGCTGTACATTATTAATTTCATGTTTCTAGGTTCAATATTATAAAAAATTCAAAAAGTACCAGTCAAAGAACGAAAAAGTACTAAAAAGTCCCTTTTTATAGATGTTTCTAGGTTTAATTTTATGGAAAACTCAAAAAGTACTAGTCGAAGTACGATAAAGTTCCCCTTTTATAGATTCTCATTTACTCCAGGCTCTAAGTGCTTAATTTCATGTTTCGAGGTTCAAATTTTGTAGCAAGCTCAAAAAGTACCAGTCAAAGAACGAAAAAGTACCAAAAAGTGCCATTTTATAGATTCTCATTTACT